CGGCCCCTCCCCCGCCCCCGAGCCGGCCGGCCGGCCGTGGGGGGGTCTGCGGCCCGCCGCCGCCGCCGGGTCGGGGGAGGCCGGCTCGGAGGGCGGGCTTCCCTGCGGAAGGCGACGTCACGGCCGCTCCCGCAGTGTGAATGAATCAAAATGCTGGGCTGACCGCGGCCTCCCCGGGCGGCCTCCCGGCACGCGAAGGGTGGAGGGGGAGGGGAGGGCGGGGGAGGGAGGAGGAGGGGAGAGGGAAAAAAAAAAAAAGCTAGAGCCGCAGCAACAGCCGTCTCCTTAGCCCGGGATGTGCACCGGCCCCGGAGAGCCGGATCAAAGGGAGGTGAAGCAGCCCGAGGCTGGCACGGGGAGGGCGCCGGCCAGCCTGTGGAGTCCTCCCGGGGAGGCGGAGGGCGGCGCGGCCGCCCCTGCGACCCCAGCGGCCTGCCGGGCTCTGTTATTATTATTGTTGTTGTTGTTATTTCCCCATCTCCGGATCCAGCCGGCGGGAGAGGGCGAGGGCTCTCGGCGGACCGCGACTCGCCGGCCCCGGCTCCGAGAGGATGCAGAGCGCGGCTGTCCCCGCGGAGGGGGCCGCCAAGGGGCTCCCGGACCTGCTCGGCGTGCCGCTGCAACGTAAGACGCCCTCCTTCCTCGCCGCTCTAATTCGCTCGCGGGACCGCCCCGGCCGTTGCGGGCAGGCCGGACGCCGCTCGTGGCGCTGGCCGGGAGGGCTCGGGGCGCGGAGACGGGCGCGGGGCTGGGGTGCCAGTCGGTGTCTGAAGGGCTCGGCTCTTGGCTGTTCGGGGGTCGGATGCGGAGCTTCCGGGAGACCGGGGCGGGGGGCGGGGATGGGATGCGGAAAGTAGCGTCTGTGGCCCGTGGCTTTCATGGAACCCCTGGCGGGGGCAGGGAGAGGATGCTGTTTGGGGACGGCAGAGGGTCCGGGCTCCAGGCCCGAGGGCAGAGTGCTCTCCCCGATGGCTCCCCTCCGCGGCGACGGCCAAAGCCCGCGGAAGCGCGGGTGCAACTTCACCCCAGCGGGCGGGAAGTTGGAGAGCGCGTCGCGGGCCCCCGGGGCTGGCTGGCGGGGCGGGAGGCTCGTTCCGCACGCTCGGTCCCGGCACCCGGCGGGGTCTCCCCGCCGCCGCCGACTGCTCGCGGGAGCGGCCGCGCTCGCTGCCGGCCGGCCGGCGGTGTGCAGCCCCGGAGCCAAGTTGTGGACCCGAACCTCCCCCCAGGCTCGGCGCGCGCCTGCGGGCTCCGGGCTAAGCCGGGTCCCACGGAGCGCTGCGGTGGGCCGGGCGCCCCGGGGACACCCCGGGAGGGGAAGGGTCCCCCGGGAGGCCGGCCCGGAGGCTGGACTTCCGCCCGCGGGGCCTGAGCGGGGCGGCGGGAGGTGGCCGCGAGCGGGAGCAGGCTCGCCGCCGCCGCATGCTGCCGCCCGTCGAGGCCGCCGCAGCGCGCGCTCCTGCGCCCCAGCCCTCCGCCGCAGGGCGTCTCTCCCGGCCCGGCTCCCGGCCAGCCGGGGCCTTGAGCTTTATCTGGAAAGTTTTGGAGACGAAAATGGAAGAGACGGCCTCGCTCGAGCCGGCCTGTAGACGGTCCCTGCCACGTAGCCCATAGTTTTCCCTGTCACCTGTTGGCAAACGAGGTCCGCCGCCCCTTGGAGAGCTGACTGTCACCCTGCTCCGCAGGCAGTGTTGGCGATTTGCTTTCCACCAGCCCCCATTCCCCCACCCCCCCCAAGGGAGAGCTTGTATGTTCCCAACCCCTGCACCGACAGAAAAGCGAACCCTCGCCTAGGCACTCAGGTCCTTAAACTGTGGCTGTGCTGCGCGAGGGAGGGCTGTGAGTGGGCGTGTGGGTGTGACTCCCGCTCTCTACTCCGCGCGTCTGTGCTCTAACTACTTTGCTCCACAGATGTCCTGTCCGGGTTCTGGACTCTCCTCTGACGGTACTTTTTTTTTTTTTTTTTGGCATGTGCAAAATTTAGATTGTCTCGATTTTTGTGTCTTTTGCTCAGGAATGCTGAGAGTCAGGAACTCACTTTGCTAAAAGACATGGAAATCCTTTTAGCACCACACACTTCGCCAAGGCTCTGGGTCTGGGCCCATACTATGGAAAACTTACCGAGGTAAAGGAAAAACACTGGGCTGGAGAGGGAGTGAGAGAGCGAGGGAGGGAGGGAAAGAGAGACAGAGGAGAAGAGCGCACTCGCTCTAGAGTAGTTCCCAAGGGCAAAGCCGACCAAGAGGAGGCCTCAGCCCTTCCTTGGGTTCTGTGGGAGACAGAGGAGGCAGATGGGAGACATGTCAGGACTGAAGGGTCCAGTCCCTGGAGAGTCCAGGATTCTTCTTTTCTTTCTGCCCCGTGCCCCTTCCCCTCCCAAGCATATCTACCCCCCAGCTTTTAATGTGACTGGGGGCAGGCTGGGAGTGGTTTCTCCTCCCAACTTAGGCAAACCTCCTCTTTCCCGATGGCAGGGCTTAGTGATTTAAGAACTAGTAGTCTGGAAGAGTTCGGGGTACCTCACTGGGCATGAAGGAGAAAGAAGAGCTCAGGGCTATGGACTCTCTCAACACCTAGAAAAGAGAGAGCACAGAGAGACTCTCACTCACAGGAGACCTTCCAATGGGCCACCGAGTTTGGGTTGACCCCCTTCCTCACAGCTGCCGTCTACATTTCCACCATAAACAGAGTACTTGACCTAGGTACCCCTGAGGCCCTGGACTCCAGGGACTTTTGAGGATTTTAAATCCCGGAGTTGGGGCCGGTGGGGGTGGGGGGGTAGAGATGAGAACATTACCCTGCCTGTTTGAGGGCTGCTAAAAACCCATTCTTCAGGAAGCCGGCTCCAATGGTGTAACCTCTCTCCCTTCCGCTGTCTGCCCACCACACTCTCGCTCTTACCTGTCCCTCTGCCACAGGTCAGCCCCTGGGTGGACTCCTCTTTGCTCACGGCAGCCTTTGGGCTTCTGCCCTCAGAGGTCCGCCTGGCCCCGCCGCCCAGACGGCGTCGTCGAACGGGACAGCCGGCGCCCTTCGCTGGCACGGTGCGCGGCTACCTGTGGCTGTCCACACACGGGCGACCCAAAGGGCCGGGGAGGGGAGGCTGGGGCGCCCCAAGCAGCCGGGGGTAGAGGAGTGGGGTCCTGCCTGCCCAGCTGGCTCTTTGGTCCCAGTTTGTCCCCCGGATCCGGGGCTTTCTCGGGAACTCCAAACCGTGGCTCCTTGAGGTGGGCCACCCATGTATGTGCTCCTTCGTGGCACCCAAGAGGTCACTTCCAGGGCCCTTTTTCTGTGGTGGTGTGGGGCGCGGTGTGGACGGGTTAGGAGCTGCAGGTGAGTCCCCGCAGGTCCCCCCCCCCCCGCCCCGCTCCGGCCCCCGCTGGCGTGGCCCCTCTCCCCGCATTGAGGACATTTAGAGAAGCTGGGGTGCGTAGGAGGGTAGGGAGCACGGCTCTTTGCCCTGCTTTAACCATCTTCACCCTCCCTCCTGGGCGCCGAGGGGCGAGCCAGGGCGATGGACCCCACGACCCGGGACTGCGGCGGGCAGGGGGGACCCTCTGCGGGACAGGCTGAGGACCAGGGGTCCCGAGCGGCGGCTGAGGCGGGGGCGGCCTCCCTGCCTCCCTCCCTGTCCGCGAAAAAGGCCGCGAGCCCCCAGCGTGGGGACAGGCCGCCCACGCTGCACTTGGTGGGCTCTCGGCGAGCACCCCGCCGCCTTCTCCCCCTCCCCGAGAGTCGCCGCGGGGCGCGGCCTCGCCCTTCCGTCGGTCTAGTCCCGACCGCTGCCCTCCGCCGGGGTTCACGACCCTGGCTGGGGGGGGGGGAACCCCAGTTCCCCCGGCCGGGGCGGCCCCGCCCCTCCCCCCCCCCCGGGGTCCCCGCCCCGGGCGGGGGGGGGGGAACCTCAGTTTCCCCTGTCGGGGCCGCGAGCGCCCTTCCCTCCGCCTCGGCCTCGTCTCCCCGCGGAGACACCGCGAGCCCCGAGTGTAGACGGGGGAAAGTCAGCGGGTTCTGCGCCAGCTGGTCAGGCGGGCACCGCGCTGCGGGCCTCCCTTACACACGCGCGCACATGCACACACATGCACACGCGCACACACCCCTCAGAGTGGGCCCACTTGATTTTGCTCTTCGGCCTGGTCATCCTCCCTAGAGCTTCGGGCCCGGGGATCGGGTTTCGCCTTCCCCGACGGCCCCAGGCCTCTGCCAGCCGTGGGAACAGAAGGGGGGAGCCGGGCGGCCGCGGACGGAGTCGGGGCCGCGGAGGGCAGCGGGAAGCCGGGAGCCGCGCGGCCCCTCCGCCCCGCCCGCGGGTTCAGCCTCCCGGCGGAGGCGGCGGCGAGGGCAGAGGCCCGCTGTCGGGGCAGCCGCAGAGCCCGCCTCTCACCCCGTGCCCGCCGCTCTGCCGGCCGCGGTGGCGTCGGGCGGGACCCGAGGGCGCGACCCGCGGGACCTCCGTCTGCCCGGGGGCGCCGCGGACCCGAGTGGGGGCCGGCGCGGGCCTGCCCCTGGCGCCCGGGTTCGGGGACGCCCGGCGCCGGCCTGGGCAGGTGCCACCGCGGCTGCCCCCGGGGACTTGGCGCGCACGGCCGGGATAGAGGGGAGCGGGGCGCCCCTTCCCTCCCCCTCGCACCCCGAGGTCTGCTCTGCCCGCCGAGCTCTCCCGAGCCCCGACCGGGGGAGGAGGCTCAGCAGGTGCCCGGTGCCCAGGAGGCGGGCAGCCTGCAGACCCCGGGAGGGACCGGGGCGAAGGCCAGGGCACGCTTCCCCCGGCAGCCAGGAGGAGGCCGCAGCGCCCGCGCCCGGGTTCGAGCCTCGGTTCCCCTTGGCGAGGGCTGGAGCCCGGCGGCCCCGAGAAAAAGCCGAGGCTCCAGGTGGACGGCGAGGGGAGGCCCGACCCGTGGCTGGCGGTGGGGGACACACAGGAGGCCGCGCCGGGCTTACACCCGGGCACCCCGGGGTCAGCCAGGACCGGACCCTAACAGGAAAAAAAATTAAATAAAGTTACTCTTATGCAACAAGGGCAACGGGCTCTTATCTGAGGACGGGGAATTAGTCGAGCCTGGGGTAGAGGCGCAGGATGCCGGGGAGGGCGGGCGGCCAGCCTGGACCACCTCCGCCCGACAAGGGAGGTTGGGGCAAGAATGCGGCCCGGAGGCGGCGGGGATGAGAGGCCCGGAGCCCCCGCACCCCGCTGAGCCCCACCTTGGCCCCGCACATTCCGGGATGAGTTTTTTTAAACCTTGTCTATCTGCAGATGAAGCAGGAACGGGGGAAGGGGAGGGGACCCCCCACAGAGCCATTTCTTCCCTGCCGAGACCGTGGGCGACGGTGACCCGATGACCCCGGTGAGCAGGTGCAGACAGCCTCGAGTCCCACATGTTTGCCTGGGCCCCGGGCGTCGGGGCGCTCTCACTCGGCGGGCCAGGCCGTTGGCGATTACTTAGCGCCCGCCTGGGCGGGCGAGCCGGGGAGCGGGCGCTCGGCGCTGCCCAGGCCCCAGCAAGGGCGCTCGCGGGTCCCCGGGAACGGGCGGTCAATTGGCTGGGACTGAGGGTGCTTTCGGTGGCGCCGAGAAGCGTCCCGGAGAGTGCATTCGGGGGCCGAGCGGTGGCTGTCGGGGGGGG